GAATTTGAACATTTCCTTAATCGTGTGTCCATCGGGTGTCAATTTCGGGACAGTGTGACAGGGGCTTTAGGGATAAGGTGAGAAGTTCAGTCATCCGGGAGGGACTCAGAGTTGAACCGCTCCTCCTTCGCGTCGAAAGGAGCCAGTTGAGGTGGTTCGGGCACCTAGTAAGGATGCCACCTGGGCGCCTCCCTAGGGAGGTGTTCCAGGCACGTCCAGCTGGGAGGAGACCAAGGGGTAGACCTAGGACCAGGTGGAGGGATTATATCTCTTCCCTGGCCTGGGAGCGCCTTGGGATCCCCCAGTCAGAGCTGGTTGATGTGGCCAGGGAAAGGAACGTTTGGGGCTCTCTGCTGGAACTGCTACCTCCGCGACCCAACCACGGATAAGCGGGAGAAGATGGATGGATGGATGGATAATTTGGAGATTTCAAGAGACTTAAAAATATAACTTAAAGAAACTGGGATGAATGTTTTTCACTTCTTTCTGGCATTTATAGCCTGTATGATAAGGGAAGAATCTGCAGATAAATGCATAGTGAAAATAATCAGCCATAAGGTCTGTTAAGCAGAGGAATACAAAATGTTCATAGGATATTCAGAAAAATATAGTAGTAGCTTTCTATTTTGAATAATCTCAATTTCAAAAATACTATCAATCAACAAGCTCTTTTGCCATCCCTAGAGCAAATTCAAGCTAACGGTGGATGGCAAGATCGGCAGAATTTGCAGCGACGCCTGCTTCATCAACTACCAAAAAGTAAACAACCTGCAACTGTACACCTGTGGTGTCTGCAGCTCCATCAGCACCGACAAACAGTTCCTGCTGAAGGAGAAGGACGGCAGTAAGAGCATCTGCAGTGAGGAATGTCTGGTCGAGTTCAAACGGGTGAGGAATTCATTTCAAAATCACCATCAATTCATTTGACCAAGACACTGTAAATATTGAGGAACTAGTGTTGGAATATCTACAACTCCCGTTTGTGTACAAACAGCACGAGTCAGTAGGTGAATTATCAAACTTATTTACTTTATTTAGTTTGAATTGTGTTGCATGAATTGGAAAATAATTAATGATTTAATGACTGAATAAATAAATGAATGAATAAATAAATAACCAACCACATATTTAGAAAATAAGCCAGTGTAAGACAAAAATAAAGTTTTTAATTATTTAAACGGATTGGTGGTTCATCGAAAGACATAAAGCTTCACTGAGCTATATTTCATTTAAATGATTATTTAATTAGTTTTATTTGGACTACTATGATCATCTTTTGTTTTGGTTCTTGTTAGTGGAAGCCCACTTTAATTCACAGGAGTTTGTTTTTAAACATCAGGTTAGCTTTTGATTAAAAGAAAAAGGCTTATTTAAAAGAGAAAGGGAATCCACAGTATTAAAAATATGTTCTGCGTTTTAAATACAAATACACAGAGCAAATACTGAGAAACGGTATACTTTAAGGCAGTGATTCTCAAACTTTTTTCAATCATGTACCCCCTTTGAAAAATTCAGCCAAGTACCCTCTGATCAGCGCAAAAAATATTTGTTAGGGAAAAAAAGCCTATAAAGAGGTACAGTGCTGCATCATCAGTGTCTGATTTACTAAAACAACAACATTGTAACTAAGAAACACTTAAATGTTACATTTCAAATGTTACCATCCATCACTAAATTCATGGCAAACCAATTTTAACATCATGCAATAACACTAAGACGACATTAGTTGCATTGAACTGATCTTTTTAATAAGTTGTACTTACAATGTAGTGAGAAACATGGTCTTGAGCTTCACTGAGGATCTTTGTCATTCTGACAGGGAGGCAACTGCAGTTATTACACTTAGCGTTTTGAAATATGTGTAACTCTAGTCTATTAATATAAAACCCACACTGCTCAAACTTCGTTACTTTTCCTAAAACTGGTATATTTATCTCTTTTTTTCTTCTTTTTTTTCTCATTAACATAAAATAAATCTCACGTACCCTCTGCAGTACTCCAACGTACCCCTAGGGGTCCGCGTACCCCCATTTGAGAACCACTGCTTTAAGGAGTAAAGAGGAATTTTAATATTTTCAAAACATTTTCAGCTTATATAATATAAGGGTTCCCATCCAATCCTGCATGTTTGCTCACTTTGTTTCTCTGCTGTTACTCTTTCACATCTTTACAGAAAATTGAAACGCCTGAGCTTTGCCCCATGTGCCGGACGTCCCATCAGTTATCGGACATGGTGGAAAATAAAAACGACGAGGGCTGGTTGGACTTCTTCTGTAGCAACAGATGTATGATGGTACACAGATCTCAGTCTTCAAATGGCTCAGGTACTGCACTCAGTTTATTTTTTGGCTTGACTATGGCTGTCATGATATCGGACTTTCTCTTCACAATTATCAAGGAAATAATGCTGCCAGTCATATCTTAACTTTGTTTATTGTGCATTTTGACTCTTTTCGCCAAATTAATAACTATCATAGAACTAATATAAGGAATTTGGCAATGAAAGAAAACTGGAATATTTACACAATATTGTCATAATGTCATATGTTTATTATTAACATGATACCAAGATTGCATTTTTTCCAATATCAAGGTTATCCTCTATCAGTATATTTTAACCCCTGTTTTAGCGCTAAATTATAATGTATAGCTTTTTAACGGAATAATTGATGAGCTTTGACAAAAGTTCACACATTTAAGACAAGCAACGGGATGCATTTACCAGCCTACTGTTCTAAGAAAATAGCAGAAACTTTTTCCGATCGCTTTTTGAGTGAAAGCTCATTATTATTAATACTGCTTATCCCATCTAATGTTCTTTCAAGTGAATTCAGAAAGCAATCTCTGTAGACCATCATCTATGACCACTTAAAGGTAGGGTAGGTAAGAATAGAGAAACCAGCTCAAGTGCGCTAGAACCGAAAAAAATCTGCCCCTTCCTTCAGACTTCCTACAGTGCCCCTCCTCCAACACACACAAACGCGCACATGCCCAATGAGGGCACGAGATAAGTTTGTGCACAGATGGAAGGCTGACAGGCAGGTAGGCCATCCAGTTATTTTAGCCGGGCCGGCTCAGATTATTGGTCATGCTTTTTACAGCGCTACGGCTTCCACAGATGACATTTTTTGATGTATTTATTGTCAAAGCACTTCAGATATTCATTGCTATCGGGATGTTAAGAGCATTCTATGGAAAATAACAACAAGTGTATCTGAAGTGAATTACCTACCCCATCTTTAACCCTCTTTTTAACATTTCTTTATAGGAAGGAACTGCCCATCTCCAGAAGATTATGACATCAAAGAAGTGAAGCCATCACTTGAAGATGAAGAAATGAAAAAAGTGAAGATTTTGCAAGAAGAGATAGAAATTACAGAAATGAAGCCATCGCTACAAAATTTGGATTTTGTGAGTATTATGTTTGTAACCCACTTTCTCTGCAGTGGAAGCAGGGTTTGGGATAGTGGCTGAGAACTTCAGGCTTTATTACTTCCCACAAGGAAGCGTTTATATAGATATCATGAAGCGTTATAGCCTTCATAATATCTATTGAGTGCAACACATGTTTTTTATTTAAAGGTCCCAGGTCATGGCCATTTCCACTGATCATAATTCCATTGTTGAGGTCTACTAGAATAGATTTATATTGTGCAATTTTCCAAACTCACTTTGGTTTCTCATACAGCATCTCTGTAAACTACGTGTATTCACTGAATTTCACTCTCTGCCTTTAACAGCTCGTTGTAGCTCCAATAGCTCCAGCCCCCACCCTCCCTGTGAGCACAGTGTGCTCTGATTGGTCGGAACGTTGTGAATCGCGCTGAGCTCCGTGGAGGTGTGGTTTCCTTGTTTAGCGATACACAGCGAAACACAGCCAAACTCACCCTGAGCACACACAAAGTCAGAGCCGAAGTAAAAACNACGATAACCTGATTTGCCCGGCTATTGACCACCGCGCGAATGTGATTAAGCGCGCGTATTCGCGTATTGTCATGCGGGCGTGAATGGACATCAGTTTAGTGTCAACCGTTTTACGGTATCATTTGGCCTGCTACTATGGCCGATGTGAACATTTTTTATTTATTTTTTTATTATTATTATAAGTACGGTACGCTAGATGGGTCGTGATTGCGAACACGCTACGCTAGGCGAGATAAACGCTAGTTGTATAAGGTGGGACTTACATTTACTATTCGAAATTTCTGTCTATGTACTAAATTGTTGAATTCTCGTTGTATAAACATACAAACGAGAATATCCTCTTGTATGTTTATAGACACGTGTCCGTCAGTCGCGGGTTAGTAAAAATTGAATGACTTCAGAAAAAGAAAACAAGCAAGAATATTAGGAACATTAGTCTTACATTAGCTTATTAATTATACGCCGCGTGGGCGATAATTCGTCGGATTTCAGACTTCCGACAATAAACTTTTATCACTGCTTCCACGGACGCATTACTGATTTGTTATTGAACAGCCTAAGAGTAAGTCCAGCGGTTTACAACTGTGGACGCCAGCACTGCCACTGTGACTTCCGTCTCAGAGGGGGACGACCCTCTTCTCAGTTTGTGAAGACACCTGGACTCTACAGAGGATGTAAAGCGTTATTTTTCAAAGGTCTAACCGTTCGTTGTCCATTACACAAACCCAAACTGAAACAAACAGCAAAGTCATTTCCTTACGACATTCTAGTTAGGCAGTTAGTCAAGGACGACTTGAGGGAGAAACAAAGGACCACGACGTCAGAGAAAGGCGAGGAGCTAGAGTCCGTGTCACCTTAGGAGGGGGCAGTAGTGATTTGCAAATACGAGGCGAGCGATCACGAAACCGAATTCGTAGAAGGCACGGTGATTTTCGAGACGTGACGTTCATCCGTCTGTGATGTGTGTGTTGTGTGTGTGTGTGTGTGTGTTTGTGTTGTGTGTGTGTGTGTGTGTGTTGTGTGTGTGTGTGTGTGTGTGTGTGTTCGTCCCCCGCGGCGGTTCCCTAAAACCGCGGTACTCTTATATAGTTTAACCCCGGGGGGTGAGTGGTCCGGTCGGTGCCCGTTGGTTCGTGTTAACGACATTGGTGTGGAGGTCTTGCTTTGGGGTTGGGATGGTAAGTAAATATACGAAATTTATATGAGGTGGACATGTCCGAACGTAGATAGAAAGCATCAGTTATGATTGGCGTGATTATAATGACCTGTCAAGCTCGACACTTTATATTGTGACGTTCTGCACCGCTTGTAAGACGCCTTCATCTTAAGTGATAAACTATATGGTCGATTTGTAAGACTGTATCTGGAGTAGATCAGTAGAAAATACCATCATTTACGGAAAAAATTATTATCGTGGAATACTTACCTTGTAAGAGTTGTACTTACCGTATTGGTTTTATTTATATGTACTGGAAAATAATTTTATTCACTTGTAATTGTGGTTGTTTTAGTACAATATTTACGGATGTTGGTTTTTTATTGTATTGTCGTCTAAATTTAATTTATATGTATGTTGATGTTTATTCGTCAATAATTTCACCTTATGGGCTTTCCTTACTTTTCCGGAATACCACACGGTTAGTCTCCGGAAATGGACAAAGAGGTCAGAAGAGTGTAGTTAGACTTCAGGAACGAGTCGGATGAGTGGTTCTCGGGTCGCGACGAAGGATGTCGTTTCAGTGCTATTCAGGAACTTCAGGTCGAAAGATCGTTCGACGGAAGTTTACCTGTCGTTTTACCGCTGACGTTTCGGACCAGACTCGTGATCACCTGGAGTTTATCAAAAAAATAGTTAAAAATCGAATGATTTTCGAGAGGTTGGGGACGTTGTCAGTGTTCCGTTCACACGTTTTATATGCATTATATGCATGTACGTTGTGAAGAGGTTTTACGAAAACGCGACGTAGAACACTTAAGCGAAGTCGCTCTTGGTTCTCCCCTGTCAATCCACCTTCACCGTCTATGTCAACAAAAGTCACGAATGAAGTAAAAAGTTGAGCAACATTTAGAACTTATAAACTAAGTCAAACAAACCGTTTGTCTTCCCTGAAATAGGAGTCGTAGACGGGTGAAAGTCTTGTCGTCTTTTAAGAAGGGTGTTATGTAACTCACCACGCTTGGATCACCAGATAGGACTAACAGGTAACTTTCATTTTTTTGTGGACACAAACGTTCTTGTGGCAAACCGACGTACAGGCCGGCAGGAAGAGAACTCTCCAGAGTAGTACCTTAGAGAAAAGGAAAAAGGAGAAACGCCTTAGAAAGAAGTGTTCCCGCTCACGACAGATTGGGCAGGGGCGGCCCTGTAGGTAGATCATTTGGGCTTGGTCATTTTAAAAGTAGCTCCCAAGCTGAAAAAGTGTGGGCACCCCTGATTTACATGATATCATTGGAACTAAACATTACTTAGCAAATAAAAACATAAATATACAAACTAAAGTGTCTACAAAGGTTATTTGTGCAATAAGTCAACTTGTAACTTACATGGCAGTAGAGCAAATTGAACTGTGAGCTGCAGTTTTCAGAGCAGAACTCTTTGTCAGTTCCTTCAAACTTTGCCGTCACCACCGCCTTAGAGATGGAGGAGCAGTGCGCACACGAGCCACAGTGTTTGCCCCACTTCTTTCCCAGCTCCTGTCCAAAGAACACCCTGCAGCCTGGGAGGAGAGAAGGGAGGCTCAGAGATTCACAGCTTTATAATCCTGAATTTCATTTATTTGTGTTGCTTTTCTTGATTTTAATCATATAAGTGCAAAACAAAAAAAGGATAGAGTATTTGAACGTGCTTCTCACCATCGCTGCAGAAGTAGCAGTCTTTGCCGTTGACCTTCTTGACGTCGTCGATGATGCTTTCGTTCTTACAATATTCACACTTTCCCGTGATGTTGTTGATGCTCTTAAACTCTTGAGAGCACACCAGGCTACACAAAAAAAATATTTTTCCCTGTGCGGAAACACACAGTGTAAAATAAAAACATCAAAGCGGCATTACTGTTTCTGAGATATCACGGTTAGAGGATTGAAGCTGTTCTGAACAGTAGGTCAACATTGCCAAAGCAGAACTTTGTGAATCAATGGACACAACACGACTCTTAATCACATCCTCTGGTTTAACTAGCTTTCTGTTCGAGCTGCCTATTCCATCTTTGAAAATGAAACACACCTTTTTCTCGATGACTTTGGGTGCACTTTTAATCTTGCGACGACACTGGGCACAGGGCAGTGTCTCTGGTGCTTTGAGGAAGTCGCCTTGGGTTTGGTCTGCGGCTCCTGTTGTTGAGGTAGGGGCAGGAGTCGTGTCTTTATGGGACTCCTGTGGCAAAGAAAGGTACAGAGGTTTTAGAGATGAGTAGGGGTAGTGGTGGTCTAATGGATAGTGAGGTAGGCTGAAGATCGGAAGGTTGTGAGTTCAAATCCTACCAGGAACACCACCACTAGTTTGTAAGGCACTTAGCCCTTAGTTACTCCAGGGAGAATGTCCCTTTAATTGGTCATTGTAAGTCGCTTTGGATAAAAGCGTCAGCTAAATGAAATGTAATGTAATGAGTGAGTGACATCTAGCAGTGAGGTTGCCAACAGAATACTCCTCCACTCATCCCTTTTTTTCCAAGAATGTTGGAGGAATATGGCGGCCTTCACGTAACGTAGATACTGTATACTATTGTTGGTCTTTCTCTCTTTATATCATTACAATTGTATTCAAGCAGTAGTGATTTTATATTTTAAAAACTGTGTAATATCCATCATCAATCAAAAGGTATTCCATTTAAAATCTTCTTAATGTATTCACACTGCGTAGTCTTGTGGGTGTGGCTAAAAAGAGGAGTCAAGGCTCCATCTCCACCCTGAATAATACCCAGTCTCCTTTTGTATCTTTTAAACTTGATATCCCCTAAACTTAAAAAGGACTACTATGTTATACTAGGGTTGGTGGAAGTCTGCCTGAAGGAGGCCCAGAGGAGTCCCTCTTTCATTATATCATTTTCTTCCTAAAAGTAAAGTGCAACTTTCTGCAACAGAGGAGCACTGCAGTTTTTGGCAAAAGTGCGAATGTATCGATTCCTTTCCCTTTTTTTATTTTTCAGAGCTGTCATTTAGGAAGAAAAGTATGAGCTTTGAAACTAAAACACTGGCTAGTGAAAGCTGTAGGTATTACCTTAAAAGTCATGGCACAGGTTAGAGAGCAGAAGTTCCTGATGGAGGCATCTGACATGGCGAGGTGGCAGGCTGGTAATGTCTTCTTACCACACAGGTCACAATTTCGTGGAGTACCTGGGAAGGAGAAAAGGTTTTGATGATACAAAAATTGCAAAATTAAAGAAACATAACTAGTATCACAAGTATTAGTAACACTTCAGTAAGACTTAGATTTCTTCGGTTTACACGCCAGGGACAAGACAAGAAAATGGAATATGCAAAATCATAGATTTATTGTTGTTTTTACTGTAATAAACCTTCACTCAACTCTACACACTGGAGACCGACTATTTCTTTCAAGTGTGCAATTCTGTGTCGAAAAGTTCAAATGTGGTCATATATTCCATAGATGTTATTTTATCTTGCTGAGCATCATTGCACTGGGTTTCTATCATTTGTGACTGGAGTCCAAATATATTTACCCTACAGTCTGTATGTTGTTAATATATTTGATACATGGCTTCAAAAACAAGACTTGGAGGACAAGGGATAACACCTTTTAGGCATCGTGGTTTCGTTAAGGGTTGACTGTGAGCTCCAATGTGACAGTATGATTGCCTAACACGATCAACACATTTTCTCAAACGTCAGTCATTATTTCATTGGTTGGTTATTGCTATTATCGGCATCCAAAATCCTTAGAAATAATTGACGTGCAATTTATTCGCAGAAATGATTTAGTTTGGACTGAAAATACTTAAATCCTCTCTATTTACATTTTGAGGATTTAGACCAATCGACTGCATTACATTTTATCTTCATTGACATACCTATTTCATTGAGAGCTATAATTAAAAGACAGGTAGAGAAAGAGAAGTACAAAGATAAAGGGCAGCTGTGTTGTCAACGTTTAAGTGCAGTACCTGCTGCGTTCACTGCCTGGATCTTGGCTGCCATCACACAACTGTAGTTACAGAAGAGCTCCACCAGGTCCTCGCTGAATTGGTTTTCACACATTTCGGACATTAAATGGGAGGTGCGGCACATGGCACACGGCTGCATAGTCTTATTTTTCTGCAAAGAAATAAGAAAATAGCACAGGTAATAAAGTAAATTCACTGACTGAGTATAACTAAGAGCATTACAATTTAGTAAGTAATTTATTGGAAGCAATAGCCACGTTCACACCGCAGTACTGAGATGTCTCCTACAGTTCCGAAATGTCACGTTCACACCAAAAATCCTTTACATTACCATTACTTTAAAAAACATATTTCAAAAACCACGGGCAGTTATGGCGAAGTCCATAGGGACTTGGCTTGGCAACTGGAAGGTCACCAGTTCAAGTCCCGGAAAGACGAAGTGCTACCGAGGTGTCCCTGAGCAAGGCACCGTTCCCTACATTGCTGCCCGGGCGCCGTACATAATGGCAGCCCACTGCTCCTAACACTAGGATGGGTCAAATGCAGAGAAACCGTTTTGTTACATAGTACCTGTACTACGTAATGACAATAAGTTGAATCTTCAATCTTCTATAGTAGCCCAGAAGGGACAAATGATACTCTATAAAGGGGCATTTTGGTGGCAATGTGCAACCTCACCACTAGATGGCAATGAATACACACATTTTTGTTTTTTTATCACTGCCTTAGCCCAAAATAATTCAGTACCATTACCATAACATTCACAAATAACTTAACTTGATACAGCTAAGAGCCTTGAAGTAAATTCTGAAACTTGGATGAAAGTGTACTTTTAAAATAATGTTTTTTAGATTGTGTTACCTGTTTGAATTGGGTCAGACACTCGGCACTGCAGAGTTTGATGCTGCCGCCCTCCGTCTTGAGCATGACTGATTTGTCGCAGCGGGAGTGACAGTTCTCACAAATTGACAATTTGTTGATGTTGCAGAAGCGGAGAAAGCAGGGCTCGCTGCAGATTTTGTGGACGACGTCCTGCTTTATGATCTCATGTTTGCTCTGCAGGACGTAGACAAACAACAGAATATCAAACATAACTCATTTCATTCCATATAAAGCAAAAGAAGAACGATTATCGGAACGTGGCCTATAAGACAAACATGTAGTTGTTTAAAAGGACACAGTTTGTAGTTAGTTGCTTAGATCATTCTTATAGCAAGCATTGTTTTCCCGTTATTGTAGGACAGTGAATTAGAGCCACTGTACGGAAACAAATAATTAATTAATTAGCCCGGCAAAAGGATTATACTCAGATCAGAATATCAAGATTCAAGTCGTAAATTTACCAGATATATATTCTCTGAGATAAGAAAAGCGTACTTTTGTAATGAAGAAATATTTTTGTTGGAGATTCAAGTCAATGAATCAAGTTGCTTAATTTTAAAGAAACATGAACTCTAATTGATTCTTTTAATATGTTCCCTTTTCTCTTACAATGCAGTATCTGGTGCACACGCTGCATTGTGACTGAGATGGGATCGGCTCGAGGGAAATTTTGGTCGACACAACTCTCTTGTAGTTGAAGGAGGACAGGCAGGTCTTGCTGCAGAAATCCATAACCGTCCCCTCGTTATGCGCCTCAGCCTGGAGGACGTCCTGAGGCTGTGTAATCCCCCTGAGAGTACGAGGAAGGCTGAGATCAGTTCAAACTCATCTTGAAGCTTATATGAGTTCAGCTGGAGAATATTTAAAACCAATTTCTTTCAACTTGTCAGAGGGACAGGAGAAATGTTGACTCACTGGAGGCAGAAGTGGCAGGTCTTCTTAACTTGGTAAAATGTCCAAAGGCAGTGAGTGGAGCAGAATAATTCAGCGTGGCTTTGCCTCTGGAAAACCGTCTCTCCGTCCATCAGGGGCTGTTTGCAGTTGAAGCAAGACGCAGGCAGATTCATGTGGGCTAGAGTAGGCGCTGAAGACGTAGAAGAGTCTTCTGTTAAAGAGAAGACTGATCCAATCTTCAAGTCCTCCTGTCAGAAACGAAAAGAGAGTGATCAATAAGCTGCTAATATTGTTTTTACTGTTATCCTAATTACTATTGTTGATATAGTTTTCCTCCTCATACAAAGCGTTTCATGTGTCCTACCATAGCAACATCATCTCCGGCCTTAGGCTCATACTTGATGTCTTGAGTGGGAATGGCTGATGGGAGATTCTGGCTGTACTCTTGTTCATCATTGGGCTCTTCTTTGATCTTGATGAGGAGTGAAGAGAGAGACGGATTAGTTGTAACGTTTACAACAGTCTGTGAGGAGAACTGCTGTTGTTGGGGTTTCTTTTGTTTGCACTGCAATACACTCAAAAATAAATAATTGTGGTACTCGTAATACTGAAGTCCGACTGTCGGTGATATTACTTATCAAGCACAAAACAAGCTATACTGCTATACAGTACATCAAACACATTACTACAGAAATTGCAGAAATCATATTAATTCAACTGCCTCGAATCAGGAATCTGTGGCTTTCAATAATAACAGAAGAAAATCAACATCATTTGTATGTATAGATTTTATATTTATATATATATATATATATATATATATATCGTTTCCCACTGTAGAGTGAGGGGATTCTGCCTGGAGAGAAACAGACAAGCTGGGAGAATGTGTATTATTTGTGTATCGGGATATTTGTAAAATGTAGGCAGCTGTCTATGCAGATTATACATCACTAAAAGCCCAAAATATAAACTCAAGTGTCAAACAAATGTGGAGTCTTTCTAGGCAAAAAAATATATATAGTGGGAGAATCACTAACCCTGCTCTCCGGTGATTAAAATTGAAGCTCACAAAGATCGATTTCAAAATCTTAAAAAGGGACAGTTTGTTTGATTTGGCAGCATGGAACCGCCAATTGCAAAACGGTGGTTATACCATGTTTGCATAGATAGATAGATCCCCATAAACACTGGTCCTTTGAAATCTGGCATACAGGGTTTATTTAAAGCTCCCATGTCATGCTTTTCCAGTTATTACCCGTCCCCTTGTGTGTTATGAAGGTTTTTCTGCATGTAAACGGTCTGCAGAGTCAAAATCCTCAAAGTACACCCTGTAGCGAGTAAAACTCTAACACAGAAAAGACCTCCCCAAAACTCCTCGTTGGAGATACGTCAATGTCCATTGATTCTTCCGGGTAACTCATGATGTCATGCGTTTCCCGGAACCAAATGGACCAATCCGTGGAGCCGTTACGTTACGTCCCCAGAGCAGTTACGTTAAGCCCCCGCTGATTGGTCCAAATTGACCAATCCACGGACTTCCTCACACACACACTCAGTGCATGCAGCTCTGCTGATCTCTCCTCCCTGGCTGCAGGCTGATAACAGACAGTTGGGATCGCGGCGAAATTCTCTCTGCAGACCCATTCTCACAGCGTTTATCAACCTTTTTCTTACTCAATATCAAGCCACACTTATTGTTTTTACTTCGGCTCTGACTTTGTGTGTGCTCAGGGTGAGTTTGGCTGTGTTTCGCTGTGTATCGCTAAACAAGGAAACCACACCTCCACGGAGCTCAGCGCGATTCACAACGTGAACCAACCAATCAGAGCACACTGTGCNATCGTGCGTTTACATGCAGATGCTGGGATCCTGAACGGTGCAGCTGGAGCGCTGTGCCCGCATTGACGTCACCCATAATTTGGCGGGAGTTGAAGAATCTCCGAAGATTCTTCAACTCCCGCCAAATTATGGGTGACGTCAATGCGGGCACAGCGCTCCAGCTGCACCGTTCAGGATCCCAGCATCTGCATGTAAACGCACGATGGCGGACACAGCAGCAAGCTCAGACAGCGATGACAGTTTAATTTTGAACGTGTCTGAGAGCTCATATGAGGCTGAAGGATCGGTTTATTTTGTATCTGTTAGAAGTTTAGGAATTAGGTGCGTCAATATGGGCGATCATACGGTCATGTAGCCAGTGGTGGACTGGGACTAAAAATCAGCCCGGGACTCTCGACCGGCCCACTTCGGTACAACTAGTAAATTGTCAACGGGGGGAGTGGGGGATGTGCTAGTGACTTATCCGACCGGCCCACTTCGGTACCGGCCCATCGTGATTCGTCCCGATGGCCAGTCCGCCACTGCACCCAGCCCAGCCCACGTAAACTGTCAACGGGGGGAGCCTCGCTTCGGGGAAACGGTGGACCTAGTGTCCCGATCGGAATGGGAATAATAATAATAATAATAATAATAATAATAATAATAATAATAATCCGTGCATTTTATCCATTAATTTCCCCAACATTATGGTAAAAAAACACACACGTTTAATCCATGTTGGTGTATAGGCCTACTACTACAACCAGTGGTGTAGTGGGGATGTTTTTACTGGGTGGACGGGGTGGTGGGTGGACGGAAGACACTATGGACGCGCTCGTGAACTGTCAACGGGGGGGGCTTGGGGACCTCTGTGTCGCCTGTCAGCGCAACTTACATGATGCCGTTTAGACAATATAATAATAAAGGGCGGTGCCGGCTGTCAGCGAACCGATCCGGCCTTTCTGCGCGACTATCACTCACATGCGGGACATAATCTCANCTTCCACACACCTTCACCTCCTTCTCCACTTGTCACGGTCACCGTCATGGTCACATCTAACTACTCCTACTCCGAGGTCATTTCCGTTCTCTTTCCACGTGCTTTCCCTGTCTGTTTCACTTCCTTTCCTCCTGTCTGTTTCACCCTTTCTCCGTCTTTCACTCTTTTCCTGTCCTGTTCACCTCCTTGCTCCTGTCCTGTTTCACTCTTTTCCTGTCTGTTTCACTTCCTTTCTCTGCTGTTTCACTCCTTTCCTGTCTGTTTCACTCCTGTTCTCTGTCCTGTTTCACTCCCTTTTCCTGTCTGTTTCACTCCTTTCTCTGTCTGTTTCACTCCTTTTCCTGTTGTTTCACTCTGTTTTGTCCTGTCCCCCTCACGTCTTTCCTGTCTGTTGTCACTCCTTTCTCTGTCTGTTTCACTTCCTTTTCCTGTCTGTTCACTCCCTTTCTCCTGCCGTTTCACTCCTTTCTCTGTCTGTTTCACTCCTTTCCTGCTGTTTCACTCCTGTTCTTGTCTGTTTCACTCCTTTTCTGTCTGTTTCACTCCCTTTTCCTTCTGTTTCAAAACTCCTTTTCCTGTCTGTTTACACTCCTTTCTCTGTCTGTTTCACTCCTTTTCCTGCGTTTACTCCCTTTCTCTGTCTGTTTCACTCCTTACTGTCTGTTTCATCCTTTCTCTGTCTTTCTCTGTCTGCTTTCACTCCTTTTCCTGTCGTTTCACTCCTTTCTCTGTCTAGTTTCACCCTTTTCTCTCCTTTTCCTGTCTGTTCACTCCTTTTCTCTGCTGTTTACTCCTTTTTCCATGTCTGTTCTCACTCCCTTTTCTCTAGTCTTGTTTCACTTCCTTTTCCTGTCTGTCGAGAAACAGTAGCGAGAGATGGCATATGGGCGACCCAAGTTCCTAGTAAACGACAATTTGGACATCGTTCTGTTGGATGGACTACAGAACTCCGGGAACTATGTATGAGATACTGTACGTCAGAGTGGTCACTCCGGTCTAGTCGTCGATCACCCGACTCTCGATAAGTACAGTAAGTACTACGATAACAGGAGAGTGACAGACCCGATTTCTCATGACGTTACTGTAACTCACACTATGTTAAGAAGGTCAGACCTTTAGAGTGAGCTGTATCTCTGTCGGTTATAGTGCGCGAATTGCTTCTCTATGGTCCGAGAATCTCTACGCTACCCTCAGTGAGGACAGACTCCCGTTGTGACGAACGACGAGTTTACCTGACGAACGTGGACTTAAAACGTACCTTGTGACCAGCGTCCTCCTTTTTCCTTCTCTAAGGTACTACAGAGAGCTTACTCTTCTGCTAGTCCTGTTACGGTCGTGACCACAAGCACGGTTGTTCACAAAAAAAATGAAGTTAACCTGTTCCAGTCGAATCTGTGATACCAAGGCGTGTGGTGAGTTACATAACAACTTCCGTAAAAGACGACAAGACTTCAAACCGTCTAAACGACTCCTATTTCAAGGGAAGACAAACGTTGGGTCGACTAGTCCTTACATAAGTTCTCTAGAGTGTTGGACTCAAACTTTTACTATTCTGTGGACTTGTACACATACGACTGGTGAAAGGTGTGCATTGAACGGGAGAAGCCAGAGGACTTACGTAAGTGTTCTAAGGTTCGACGTTTCGTAAAACCTCTCACACGGGGGAACATGCATATAATGCATATAAAACGTGTTACGGACACTGAAACAACGCTCCCAAACTCCTCGAAAATCATTCGAATGTTTAACTATTTTTTGATAAACTTCCAGGTGATGCAGATCCTGATCCGAAACGTCAGAACGGTACGACAGGGTAACATTTCGGTCAATCGATCTCTTCGACCCTGAAGTTCCTGAATTATGCTCACTGAAAACGGACATCTTCCGATCGCCGACCCGAGCAAACATCATTCCGACTCGTCTTCCGATCCAAAAGAAGAGGGCCCTGGCTCTGTAGAGTGTACATGACACATATGATAATATATTCTTTAATATAATAATATTAGTATTAATATGATAACGGTGATTAACATTTTATTTACCTAATACAGACTGATCACTAAACGCTTCAAACATCCTAAATAGACTAAAGCAGTTTTTTGTCACGTTATATTAATGTTAATTATTGATGAAAGGGTACTTACATTTTTTTTCTTAATGTTTTAAACATTTTGGGGCCCCCTGCTAGTCACGAGGCCTTAGAATCGTCCTAACCTTTCACCCCCTTACGGCGCCCCTGCACACACATACACACACACACACTCTCACTCACTCTCTATGATCACATGTATATCATGTGCACAACAACAAAGGCATTCATTGTATGTTTCATCAATTACGTAAGTTGTTTAAAAAAGACCCTATTATGTAGCTGCATTTACTTGGAGCTCACACACTGTAAAGACATCTGTAGATTCAATTTATTTGTAAAAAATGTGAATGTATGGATGAGATAAAAAATGTATGGCTAATGACATCATAAAATATGACCACAGTCATTCAAAAATAAACTTTGAATGTAGAAAAATAAAGACGATGTGGTACAGCCTGTGTTGTGATAAACGCTACAAATACTCTCTTCAGTTGCTGTGAACATCTTTGTTTTTCTGACTAAAGCTGTCATTTCTCTTCAGTGCCGGTCTCTGACGTTCAGACAAAGGTGGTTGGACATGTAAGTTTATTCCAGAAACTCCTACCCGTATTAGATTTAAAAAGTGTTTCCAAGCACACATTTGAATGAGCTAATATCTAACCTTTTGGATGTTTTGTTATTGTTGTTGTGTCTGTTCTTCAGGCCAGTGTTCAAACCTCCCCCAAGCAGCTGAAGAATAAGTCCATGCTCTGCACACCGCTGGTCCACAACAAAGGAGTCTCCTGCACGACGCAGACTGTCAACACAGAGACACAGACGGGTAAACATAATTTCAGGATTTCTAAAATGCTAGTCTGATTCTTGTGAATCCATTCTTTGATCCTTACCAAATCAAAGATGTTAGCCAGTTTTATTGAATCAGCGAGTTCGTGACCAACACACATATTTTCTTATGGAAAATATACTAGTGCAAAGATCTACTGTACACGTTTACCCTCTATCCTGAAAAAAGAGATGTGATACTGTTTTTTTCCCCTTTTTGTGTGTGTGAAGACAAGTCTTTCCCCAAAGTCATAGTCCTGCCTGTCCCAGTGCCAGTGTACGTTCCTCTGCCAATGAACATGTACAGCCAGTACACACCGTGGCCGGTGGGCCTGCCCATACCGGTATGTAAAACTCCTGGTAACCTTGATCACATTTAGACATCGGTGTTTCCCTTCTTCCTTACATGATGCACTGCTAAGCACACACACATTTAATTGTTTCTTTTTCCAAATGAAGATGCCCTTACTTATACTTTTTTTGCAAATATTTGTGTACTTGCTCCACCTCAAACCTATTTGTATTGGTCAGGATAGACACCAACCACATGACATCCTTTACATTTCTTTACAATTTAATTTGGATTAATCATGCTCTGTCATACAGCACCATCAGGTCATGTTTGAACACAGCCACAAAAAAGAACAGCTGAAGTTGACAGTAGATTGAGATTTCAGTAAAGACCTTTAAAAGAGTGTGTGGAAAAGTGTCGAGAATGTCTGTTTTTAAGTGATAACATTTAGTATTTTCAGGCATCTTTCTGACATTTAAGACGCATCCAGCCTCCCCACTCTATCCCTCCTCCCATTGGTTCCCCTGGTTAGGCAACAAAACCTCCAGGTGCTACCTTCAAATGTACCACCCTGTCTTTGTCATACTGTCCTGCTGCAGCTGCCTGTGCCCGTGTTTCTACCAAATCCAACCGGGAAATCCATGAACGACCTGCAGGAGGGAGAGCTCAGCTTCACGTCTGATCTGAAGAAAGCACAGGATGAGAGGAAGGAGAGAGAAGACACGCTGGTAAAAAAAGAGGGACAAAGACGAGAAAACCGTGCTCCAAAGGGTAAGACATTGGTCCTCCTATGATCTGATTCTGATCTACTTTGTCATTCAGGAGTTAAGGCAGACTCTGATGTAAGGCTCAGCATGTTGCACAAACTCCTTTTGGTGCTCACAGGATAAAAAAAACTCTCGAGATGAATTATGTTTTTAGATTAAGAATTGCAACACAGTTATTGTCAAGGCACGGAGCTGTTTTTTTTATTTCACTTATCTAAAACAGCTCTGTGTACGATGACAGAGGGAGGTTGTTATCCCACAGGAGAAACGGATAAGAGCTTCCACTCGTGTCCTTGAGTTGGACACTTTTTTGACTCATTTTTAGAGGAAGTGAAGGCTGTCATTTACGTTAGACTCCCCCTACATTTGTCAATCTTTAATTTAGTCAAAGTATCTTTCATTCTGTTTTCTCGTCTTTGTTTTTCTTTCCGTTTAATTTAGCGCTGTTTATGCTTCCTTTCAACTTTCTTCTCTCAGTGAATATTTACTCTAGGGATGAGTATTGTTAGGGTTTGAAGAATACTACTGCGCTTATTGATCATTCTTAGTATAGGTAATCATTTAACGTAGTAGAAAATATTTCGAATGTATTGATAAAAAATCTCTGGAAGGAGTTTAGAAAAACCAAAAACATTCAAACAATCTGGATTCACAATAGTTTATACTTGAATCTAATTATTTATTTTCTATCAATGTATTTCTAGACCACAGCAGTAAGTGTAGCGATGACTTGGACTCAGATCATCAGGCCACTTTTACCAACGAGGAAGACTCCTCCTCTGGCAGCAGCTCTGGATCTCTCAGTCGACCAAACAACAGCGAAAAACCTTCACCGGTTTTAGAGCTGTGCCAGGCCAATGAGCCCCCCCCTCCTCCTCTGGAGCTGAGAGGGGGTTCCCAGAGCTCACTGAGTCCTGCACCAGTCTCTCTGCTATCACAACAGACTGTGGGGACAGTCCACAACAAGGACAAGGTAACAAACCAGCTGGGACTTTAGATGCTTTGGTCTCATCGCTCTGTGGTTTGATCTTGTCTAAATTCTCTTTTTAAAGGGTCATAAACCGCAACAGCCTTCCAACGTGGCTAAAGCGGAGGGTTCCCAAAGAGAGGAGGTCAGTACGAGGAAGCGCCACAAACTGAACAGTCAACGTGGGATCGACGCCTGGAAGAGATGGATACAGTGGAGGGAATCTCAAACTGACCTGGACCTGGTTTCCTGTATGTCTTTCTGTCCTTCTTCCTTTTTTACTTCAACTTTCTTTACCTAAACTAAAAGTTTAGTTTTTTGAGTTAGAACAAATCTTAACAACTGCCAGATGTCTGCAATTGTTTGTGCAAAGGTATTTGAAACTAAAACTTCTATCATTATTGAGATATTATTATTACATTTTTATAAAATGTACCGTAATTTTCGGACTATAAGCCGCGCCTTTTTCCCTATTTTTCGACGCTGCGGTTTATATAACGGTGCGGCTAATCTATGGATTTTTACAGCTAACGGCCAACACCTTTAACTCTATGGGCTCTATGGCCGGTCCGCAGACCCCCACCTTTAAGCGGCGGGTTCCAGCAGGAAAAGCTGGAGGCCGGAAAAGAGTGAGACAGGTAGCGCGCAAAAGTAAAAGTGGAACCGAGAGTGGTATGCCGCTGCTGCGGCTTATATTCAGGTGCGGCTTATAGTCCGAAAATTACGGTATATTGTTTTTGGCACGCATGGTAGTATTTCAGCTTAAGCCCAACAATCTAGATTAGAATTCACTTCAAGAAGAATCTTTTTTTTATTTAGATAACTCAACAGATAGGTCAGTGGAACCTGAACTCAATAAACAACGTGTGAAGTATATGATAACCCAACACAACATTGTTGACACGTCCTCCTGCCTCTTCTCCTGTCAGCCTGTGCCGTGACGTTCAACAAAGATATTCTCCGCTGTTCCGCGGCAGAGCTGAGCGACAGCCTGTGTCGTTTCATCACTGAGGTGAAACGTCCTGACGGAGAGCCGTACCCCCCCGACGGCCTCTTCTACCTCTGCCTCAGCATCCAACAGGCAAGATGAGCAACACTACACACACATTGTATTATGCACTCTCACAGCTGCTATGTTATATTATTATTATATTACACATTTGTATCTAAAGTATGTATGAGGAAGTGGTAGAAATTTGAGGTTTCTACCACTTCCTCATACATACTTTACATTGTATTTATTTTCATATGAATTATATGTATGTGTGTGAATCAAATAAATAAATCAACCATAGTTATTGATATGAAAGAAACTGTGAAGAATCTACATTACCGTATCTTTTATTGTTAAATACATTTACGTACATTATGCAGGATAGTCAGTCAAAATAAGACACTACATAATCACCATGTGCCATCATTCATAATGCATAATAGAAATGTGAAAACATTCCTCATATAAGCTTGTTTCTCGGTTAGTAACTGTTTCATACAGATATAGGGTCATATGTTTTTTGCTTTATTCCATATGACATTTAACGTTTGTGTACATTTAATATATATTGGACATCATGTGATTATGATGCTAATCCTATTAATAATGGGACCCTTTTATAATAGTGTCATCACATTCACTGTGTTGTCGATTGTTATTGAAGGGTCTGATGTAAGTGCCTTCACACAGTTTTGTTGCTTTATCGGACTTAAATGTTGTCTTTTCTCTTCAGTACCTGTTTGAGAACGCCCGTATGGAGAACATATTCAGTGATCTGACCTACAGCAAGTTCTCCACAATGTTCACCCAGATCCTGAAGAGTTTCAGACCCTCAGTCTCAGCCAGCGGTGAGTCGTAGTGTCTTTTCTCCGCCTATTACCTGCACAGAGTGATCAGACTTCTAACAGCTCTCCTCCCTCTCTGCAGGTTATATCCATTCCCGTGTGGAGGAGGAGTTTCTCTGGGAATGTAAACAGCTGGGGGCGTACTCCCCCATCGTCCTCCTCAACACTCTGCTCTTCTTCTGCTGCAAGTACTTTGGCTTCACTACGGTGGAGCAGCACCGCCAGCTGTCCTTCGCCCACGTCATGCGCTGCACCAAAACCAACCATGACAACAGCAAGAACACCTTCCTGCGCTTCTACCCCCCAAACGAGGCAGAGTCAGGTACCAGTAGGATTGTCAAAGTCAACTTTATTATCAATATATTTGAGTGTGGAGATGTGGGAGGGAGGGGAGAGAGTTCAGCATCCTGACAGCCTGGGGAAAAAAGCTGGTTTTGAGTCTGGTGGAGCTGGACCGGTGGCTGCAGAACCTCCTCCTTGAAGGCAGGAGGGTGAAGAGGTAGTATGGGGGTCCCCCCACAATGCTGAGTGCTTCAAGGTGTTGTGGAGGTGCAGCAGTGTTGGGAGGCACCAATGATCCTCTCAGCAGAGCTCACTATGGGCTGCAGGGCGGTTGGAGGGGGTGCAGCTTCACACCGTAATGCAGCTGCTGAGGATGCTCTCGATGGCGCCTCGGTAGAAGGTGTACATCAGGGGTACTCAAACTTTTTTATTAAAGGTCCACTTGGGAATTTTATACAAGT